CACACACACACACACACACACACCTGTGGATCCAGCCCACTGCCTGAGAACTCTTCCTCTCCACTTGGATCATTGTCATCACTCTGCAGGGGACAAAGACACAGCCACAAGTATTATGACTGCTGACTTGGTCTTTTTCTTTTTAGCAGTGGTCTGTTATCCATCCTGCATCAGTTTGTATAGATATAAAAGATGTCTTGTGTGTTTACCTCCCCGGTCCTCTGGGCCTTCCTTCTGGCCCGAGCTTGTCTCCTCTCCCTGCGCTCCCTGGCCCATCGCATAGTCTCACTCTCCCCTGTGTTGGCCTCCACATCTGGAACAAAGCCAGACAAGCAGTCGTTAAACTCTGAATTGAATATCTCAACAAACTTTCAGGTTCCACATTTAGCTAGGAACAAGGGAAATGGTGGTACATACCTCTCCTGTCAGAAGCCTGAGGCCGCGGAGTGCCAGCGGGTTGCGTGAGGCCCAGCAGGTCTGACTTCTGCAGGCTGGCAATACGAGACCTCCAGCTCACTTCCTGTAAACACAATATCCCCCGCTATGTGATGTCACATGACGTTATATAAGCGCAGCCAACATGCAGCTAAAACTAAAATAAGGCTCTCACCCCTTCCTCTCCCTTCTTTGCTTTTGCTTCCTTCTCTTTCTCTTCCTCCTCCTTCTTTTCTCTCCCTTTGTTGTCCGTCTTGTTGGTTTGGCTGGTTTTCATCGTCTTCTCCGCTTCCTGCAGATCTGTTAGCGTCACCCCCTTCATATGAAAGACAGATAACTCTATATTACTGACAAACAGCACCAGAGGCTTCCTCCTCATCTTCCTCCTCTCACAAGCGGGAGTTTGTACCTGAGTTGAACGGCGGGACTGGCGGGCGTGTCTGGAGCGAGCCTTCCTCTGTGCCTCTGCTTCTTCATCCCGCACAGGTGTCAGATAAGATCTAGACAAGGCAATCAAACTTTAAGCCACAAAGCAGCACAAAAGTATCACAATTTAAAAACATCCACTGCAATAACACACAATACAACAGCTGACGCTTACTTGCGCCTCTGCTTGGTTTCCTGCTCGCCCGTGGTCATGCTCTGAGAGAAGTTGGAGGTGGTGACGGCAGACTGATCCTTCTTCTCTGTCTGTTCCTGAGGAAATCTACAGGAGAGAGATAAGAGCTGGCTGTCAGATCTTGTAGGTAAGTGGGAAAAATGTTCCAGGAAACTTGAACGCAGTAAAGAGAAGAAAACCAATTAACCTCTGTGCCAAGACACTATTAAGACGGCTGAGTCCAGAGGAGCTTGTTCCTATGCTCGCTGAGGTCAAGGTGGGGTCATCCAGTCTCTTTCCATAAGATGAGCTGGAAACAAGACGAAACCCATTGGAAACAAAAAAGTTTCTTTCTTTCACAACAACACGTACACATACACACAACTAGTGTTCGGTTTTTTGGGGGGGGGGGGGGGGCTGTAACAAGCTGTGACATGGCAAAAACAGTCATGCAGACAAATGCAAGACGAGCGGTGGGCAGCGTGACTAACCTGTGAAGCAAATAGGGGGTGGAACTAGTGAGATCATGTCCTGTTTGACTATGAAGGCGTCGGGTGTAAGAGGAGCTACGGCTTAGCCAACTGAGAGAGAGAGACAGGGTAACAAGGGCACATACTGTGGGCAGCAGAAAAAAAATGATTCTGGTTTCACGAGTGCAAAAGCGCACAAAGAGCACGAGCCCACCTGTTGGAGTTGTCAGGGCTGTTGTCGGGAATGCTGAAGAGTCTCCGCGTAGGAATAGGCGGGACCCTGGCAAGCTTTGGCTCCTGACAAAAAGGGGTGAGACCAGTTCATGAGTTATTTATGTGACCCAGAGACAAATAAATCTTTTTTGGTCTGTCATACTAGATTCACGTGTCATGCTGCGGTGGCGCGTACCTTGGTGTCAGCCTCTGAGCTGAGGCGAGGGCTGGATGCAGAGCGGGTCATGCCCAGGCCTGACACTGGAGGTCTGCTGGGGTCCGGGCCGGAGTCAGACAGTCCGGCCGTGCCTAGAGTCACCGAGCTGCCAGCCTTCCTCAGAGACGTTCTCCAGGAGACCGGGGCCTCAGTGGTTGTGGGTTTGCTTGGTTCCTGCTACACAGCCAGTAAGATTCACCACGTCTGTTATTAAATCGCATCGCGCAGCTAAAAACAGACATTAGATGTTTAGAAAATTGCTCTTCATGTGACCTTTTTCACTTGGCCTGTAGCAGTGCCCGCTGACATGGAGGTAGGGAGCAGGCTGGTGGTGTTGCGTTTGTTGTTCAAGTTGTTTATGATCTCTCTGTTTTTCGCTTTTTCTGCAAGAAACAAATCTGCATTCAGCAAATCCCTTTTAGAATCATAAAACTCTGATTTGATAAAACATAATAGTTCTTGCTCTCTAAGATAATGATAAGCATCAACACCACAGATTTCTGTTAAAGTAGAAACAGCAGCAGCGTCTCTCACCCGACTCAGCATCACTCTCGGATTCGCTCTCCTCCTCGGAGCTGGAGCTGCTGGAGGCTTTGGCCTGGCTTTGAGGCTGAACCTGTCCCACCTGGCTTTCCTCCTCCTCATCCTCAGCCGGGCTGCTCTGCAGGGCAGGGGGTGGGTGCTTCTCCCGCTCATGGAGGCAGATCTTGTCCTTGCTGCTCATACGAGAGATAGAAGTCCTGCAGGGGCGGGGCCAAGGTGGGGTGGGGGTGGAACACAGGTGGCATGCAGGGAGCTGATCAGTGAGGGCACTCATTCCACGTGCAGCCAATTAGAGCAAGCATGCGCCGATCAACACACCAGTGGGCTGTGATGTCACGTGAGTTTTTTACTTCACTACGTCGTCACTTCACACAACAGGTTTCGTCTAAATCACTTGTTTAAGAGTCTTTTCTTCCCATGTGATGATGGAAACCTCACACAAGCCCACAGGGATAAAACAGCAGCACAGCACGCACACAGACAGCAACAATTACTGTGTCCCAATTCCATAATAGTTATATACAGTATTTCTGTACAACAAATGTATTTGTATTTGTTTTTTTCCAGTTTGTATAATCGAAATCAGAGTTGCATTATGGGAGTATGGTGTACCTTGAACCAGCCTTAGACGAGTTTATTTGCACATTGAAACTTTATTTGGACACTTTGCTGTGTGAACAAATTTTATACACATGTCCTTTAAAATAAGTGTGTGTATAATAATTTGGGACACAAATTACCATTGTATCTGGGTACACTGACCATTGAGATTATTATTGCAAATTACAGAGCTGGATGGATTTATACCTCTGTCATTTTTGTCTGCGTTTGTTTATTAGCAAGATATACAAAAAATAAAAAATTTTATTCCATGAAATGGAACGAGGGTGTGGGCATGACCCAAGGTCATCCAGGATTTTTTCTTCCCTTTCTTTAACAATGACAGAAAAGGTGTTTTTGGACATTTCCACAGATTTCCCAAGGAATCATTTATGGGTCTTAATGAAAACACATGCCTGATGTGTTTAGGAAACTGATATAGA